GGCAAATGTAATACCTATTTACAAGGCAGGTGACAGGTCCTTAGCTTCGAACTTCAGACCAATAAGCTTTACTTCTACAGTGGGAAATTTTATGGAATCAATAATTGCCGAAGCAATTCGTAGCCATCTTGAAAGGCATAAATTGATTAACGAATCTCAGCACGGTTTTACAAAGAGGCATTCCTATCTTACGAATTTACTTTCCTCGCTAAGGTATTTGATGAGGTAGATCATTGTATTGAATATGATATTGTGTATATGGACTTCAGTAAGGTTTTCGATAAAGTTCCACATCAGAGGCTATTGAGGAAACTTAAGGCACATGGAATAGGAGGAGATTTTTTTTCCTGGGTAGAGGTATGGTTGACAAATAGGCAGCAGAGAGTTTGCATAAATAGGGAGAAATGAGAATGGGGGCATATCACAAGCGGTGTTCCACAGGGGTCAGTGTTGGGCCCGTTACTGTTCACAATCTACATAAACGACATAGATGAGGGAATAAATAGCGACATAAGCAAATTTGCCGATGACACCAAAATAGGCCGTGAAATTTATTCTAATGAGGACATTAGAGCACTCCAGGATGATTTGAATAGACTGATGCAGTGTTTGGAAAAGTGGCAGATGCAGTGTAATATAGACAAATACAAAGTTCTAAATGTTGGACAGGAAAATAACCATGCCACATATAAACTAAATAATGTAGATCTTAATATTACGGATTGCGAAAATGATTATGGAGTTCTGGTTAGCAGTAATCTGAAACCAAGACAGCAGTGCATAAGTGTTCGCAATAAAGCTAACTGAATCTTTGGCTTCATATCTAGAAGTATAAATAATAGAAGTCCTCAGGTTGTTCTTCAACTTTATATATCTTTAGTTAGGCCTCATTTAGATAATGTTGCGCAGTTTTGGTAGCCGTATAACAATAGATATAAATGCACTGGAAAACGTACAAAGGAGGATGACAAAGTTGATCCCATGTATCAGAAATCTTCCCTATGAGGATGGACTGAGGGCCCTGAATCTGCATTCTCTAGAAAGGCATAGAATTAGGGGGGAAATGATTGAGGTGTATAAATGGAAAACAGGAATTAATAAAGGGGATATACATAGCGTGCTAAAAATATGTAACATAGACAGGATTCGCAGCAATGGTTTTAAGTTGGAAAAACTCAGATTCAGGAAGGATATAGGAAAGCACTGGTTTGGTAACAGTTCTGGATGAGTGGAACAAACTTCTGAGTACCCTCAGAGAAGCTAAGACGTTGTGTAGTCTCAAAAATACATTGGATAAATACATGAGTGGGTGTGGGTGGGTGTGAGATGGATCTGACTAGCTTGTGTTATAAGGTCTGATGCCGTGCTCCTCCCTTAAGTGACGTGTCTGACCTCACTAAGTCAAGGCTTTGGCTTAAGCCGGTTGGAGAATTGGATCTGCCTCACATGGGCCAGTAGGCCTGTTTCAGTGTTCCCTCTTTCTTACGTTCTTATAAGTAATAACTTGTATCATTGACACTACTACCTCACCTCCCATCACTAAGGGACAGTGAATATATTATTCCACTCATTTACAATTTAGTAATACTTATACAGCAACATATTAGTGAGAGAGAAAAGGAGCTGATATTATGATTAACTGGACATGATACAAAAATATTGAGACTGGGGGAGTATTATTAGGTGATGAGATCGGAGAAACACTTATAGAATAAAGTCCTTAGAACAGCTTACTCCTAGGAAACCGGAAAGCAGTTAGCCACAAGTCCTAAGATCCAGCATTGGCCTCAGCTACCTTCTCGCCCGGCCAGAGCTCTCTCTCCAAAGTTCTCCGACAGAGCCTCAAGCTCTGCCCCGGCAAGAGCTCTTTCCAATGTCTCCCTTGTAGCTGCTTCCTTGAGTTTATTATATAGGCATTCGCAATGCTGCATGTGGCCTTTATAGAATCTAGAATCCTTTAACAAAGCTAGGGTTTGGAGATTACTAACTACAACTCCTTTCTTCTCAAATAGAAAGGTCTGAGAGACCATGACAAATGTTTTCTCTAGATACTGGAAAGCTTTCCGCCACACACCCGACTTCTGGCATGGTCATCACCACTTGGGTCTTTATCACGTGGCCTATTTACCAAGATTAGCATTAACCACCATGGTCCCAAGCAGAAACGGGAATTCTGGTATCATTAGTGATGCAGTCTGCAAACATCACAGTAGTAGTAAATAGTATTGGTAGTGATAGTATGAGTAGTATAGTAGTAGTATTATAGTAGTAGTAATAGAAGTGTAGTAGCAATGTAGTAGTAGAAGTGTAGTAGAAACGTAGTAGAAGCTGAAGTAGTAGTAGTAGAAGTTGTAGTAGAAGTTGTAGTAGTAGTAGTAGTAGTAGTAATAGTAGTAGTAGCAGCAGCAGCAGTAGAAACGACAGAAATGAGGTAGTAACAGTAGTAGTAGTAGTAGTAAAGCACTGGTAGAAGTAAAAGAATAGTGTAGTACTAGTGAAAGAATTTGTTGTACTGTAGTAGTTGTAGTACCTGTGATTGTAGTATAAAGGAAGAAAAGAAGAAAGTAGCACTGCAGGAGACGTGCTGACTCACGCCAGGCAGCACAAACAAAAGAATAATGAAATGGAATAACATTTCGAGGCAGAGGAGACTGAAGTATCTCAACACTCTAACACCTGTATTCAAGTGAGAAGAGAAGATCTGCAGTAGGAAAACTGGTCCAAGCTTGAAAAAAGATAAAAAGGTTGCAAGAAATAAGAGATTCAGAATACAGGGAAGGCAAAGAAAATTCAGAACACAGGTCAAGAGGAAAGAAGAGATAAGGCCAAGTCACTAGCGTTCCGAAGATTAGAACATAAGTCAAAATTATAATTTATATTAAGAAAGGTGTATATAAGGGCTGATTCAACAAAGCTAAAAGGGTAGATAATTTTTGCAGGTACCAGTTAATGAGAAGGTTGTGATCTTTGACAAGACGAACACATCTTTCTTATTTTCTTGAAGTCTATCAGAAAAGTAGCATCCAGTTTCATCAAAGTATTGGAGAGGACAGGAAAAGCAAGAAATAGGCAATATATCGGAAGCTTCAGTGGCGAAAAGTAAGATGAAATCTAAACGACAGATAGGTGTTATGAGGATTTTCCATATTAAAAGTATGGAGAAGTGAGTATGAGAGAGAAGAAATTCCGTTTAGTATGAGAGTAAGCAGAGTTTACTAAATCAAGAAGATAACCAAGAGTCACAGATGGAGATAGCACGAAGAAAGAGAGAAACAAGAAGTACCTTGGTTATAAGTAGTAAATGTTCATCCCCATGAACATACGCCTGCGTTAAACGGTACAAGAAAATCCTCTCAATGAGCGGTAGTTATAAATGTCAAGGAAATGAAACAACGAGTTAGATTTCAATTCAACTTTGAAATAATAGAATAAAATTTACTATGAAAGGGAAAAGAGTTAGAATACACAGAAAGCTGAATAAAATCACTTAAGGCATCTATGGACATATAGAGATGCTGCAGCTTTTCATTGGCTTTTCACTCTGAGAAAACTGAGAACATCATCAACATCATTAGTAAAGAAAGGTTCAGTATCAATACTTGCCATCTTACAGATCGGATATTGCCCAACACGTTCTATGACGTCTCGAGAATGACAGAGGTGAGCAGGAGGTAAAAAGGGCCAAGAAAAGGAGGAAGAGGTTTGGGCAGCTAAGAAGCAAGAAGATAAGACAAAACCTCTAGCCTAGAGGAAGTGATTAGGCAAAGAGGAATACTAGCTTTGTGGGTTTTAAGTAGACCATAAAAATAAGACAGAGAGATACAGATAAGACAGAGTGCGAAGTATAAGGTTGAACGTTTTCTTGTGACGATTAAGAAGGTTGGAAAGAAGGTGAGTGTAAGAGTGTGAGTCAGAGAACAGAGATTAGGCTTTTTGGAGGTAATCCTCGAGTTTGAGGACTAAGACGAATTACCTTTGCCAGAAGGCAGGAAAATAATATCAGTAGTATAGGGACAATGAAAGTACTGATTCTTAGAAAAAAAAAAGTCTATCAAGGGCAGGAATGAGAGTTCCGCGAATAGTAAACAGGACATGAATATTTTGAGAGTGAAGTTCAAACTTATGTAAGGAAAATATGAAAGAGGAAGGAAAGATTAGTAACACAGCGAGAGAGAATTTGGACCAGCGACTATTAGAAATAAGACGGTGTAGTTTATTCTGAAAGGAATTAGCGTGTAAGTTCGAATTAAGGTGAGCATTATCGAGAGCAATGGTAGTGAGAAGGTTGCAGAGATCATCTGGGGGAATAAGGAAAGCAGAGCAAGTTGATATTGACAGAGGATGATAAAAGAAAGCATCCTCAGCTTGAGACTTAGCAGAAAGTATTAAGCTATTTGAATAAAAAGCGGTGATGATCGGTAAAGGGAGTGCCCAGTGACCTGAATTTAAGGAATTGGGAAAGGAAGGGGAAATGACTTGTTCAGCAAGTCAGTCATGGAGAAAATTAAGCTAATTTAACGATGCCTGGAAGCAATAATGGTGGCTTCATAATAACCAAAGAGGAATTTAAAAGAAAGGTTAACTTAAAATTATTACAAAGAATGAGATGCTTACGTACAGGGTCCAGTAAGAATAAAATCACTATACCGTGACTGCAACAGGTCACCAGAATATTTAACTGTCACTACCATTACTATTTCTGCCGCTAATTCTACGTCAACCATCACTACTTCTACTATTAATACCACTACTACTACTACTACCACTACTTCTACTAGTACTACTCCTACTACACAGTATTGTATATATGCCATTGTTAAGTTTTGAGTTAGCATTGGACCAAGACGTACCGGAAAGTCATCATTGGTTCCTCTCCTGAGTACAGGTTTTTGGTGAATTCTTTTGAAATGAGAGATCCATCCAAAAAGAAAAGTCGCCCTGAACAGAAGTTCAAGAAGTTCAGTAGTGAGAAAAGTGTAGGGTAAGTAGGCCATCCAAGAGATTACTGTACAGTTAAGCTGTTTTTATTACATAATAATTTCATTGTTCCATTCAAAAATTAATATTCGTATAGATGAGGTAAATATATCGAGAACATTATACACATTTTACAACTTCTCAGTATCTGGAATATCTTGGTAAGTTTTTATTATACGAAATTTTACACTGAACAGGAGGCATGTAAAGTATTCCCGAGTAAATAACTTTGATTAAACAATATGTTAGGCACAATTCAACGTTTACTGCCAGAGTTGCTCCTGCTGCTGGTGCTCACCAATTGGGGCTGGACCGCTTACGTCATTCTCAAACCAAAGTAACGTTTCCTGGTAGCTTGAGCTCTCTGGAATTCTACAGTAACTTACAGTTTAGCAGCCGGACTCACCCTGCGCTTCTTCAGCAATTTCTTGAGGACTTTTCCCGTGTGAGACCTTGGAAGGAAGTCAACAACCTGGATACCACCTGCCAGCTGTTTATATGAGGACACACGACCTGGGGATCCATGAGATGTGTTATTAAATCATGAGGTTTTTAATAGCTTTCTCGTCATTAGCCACTGTGGTGTTATGGAATTCTAGCTTGTTTAATGATAGCTGAAGAAAAATCATAAGAATTTATCACCAATTCTCTGAGTTTGAAGATTTTACTAGCATCATAAATGGTTTCTAAGAAATGTGAGCTTGGTGTGACTTTTCTAATGGTGTGAAATCAGTCAATGCCAACTATTAAATTTACCGCAGTATGTAACAACACTACTCGGCTTTATTGTAGCTCTATATGTATCACTGCACTGTATGACCCTTGTAGGTTTAGAGCTACTTTTTGATTATAATAATTACAATATCAGTGACTTTTCCTTCCATATATATATTTTCCTGGCTGTAGAATTTAATTATTAACACTAAAATATCTCCAAGAAAATATGTAATACATATACATTATAAACTGACTCATGCACAATATATTTTATGTCTCGAGGCTGGAGTATAACACAGTAACTCAGTTGTCTAGAAAAAGAAACAATTACAGTATTTCAGTTGTGTGTACAATGGACAAAATTATTGATTCCATTTTTGACAGAGAAACTGCGGACATAATTAAAAGTTTATATATCTAACAATCTGCTCACAGATAATGCTGTGAAATCAGAAACGGAAAACTGGCTAAGAAGTAAATTTATAATCAATGGTAAGATACATCCTAAACCCACGTGTCATCCTCAATATCAGTTGAATAATTTCACTCCGATTCATCATATTCTTCTTCATTATTACTGAGGATCGTCTTATTCGAGACATGACTTCTAAAAGATTCAGGCGGTGGAGACGCTTTGCGTGACAAACTGATTTTAAGATGTTTCTTCAGTGAGTTGCCACTCTTGCTCAAGTAGAGAAAGGCTGGCTATCTGCTATGTTATTAATTTGAAGGGTATGTTTGTTTCTTCAAATGAGAAGAGTGCAAATGAAAAATTCAAATGGTATAATCTATGGTAATGGTTACCAAACTAATAATTACAAATGTTCTTTGCAAGTCGAATTATTTGCAAAATACACTTATTAAAAAAAAAAAACCCAGCAGATGGGGTCGCCGCAGACGTCGGGTTATTGAACCGTTAGAAATCGCTCTGCTGGATGGAAAAAAAACTGTACATGAAAAGCTTGCACCAGACTTACATCAATATTAAATCAGTTAGCAATATGAGAAATTCTCACGAAAGATGGAAAAACATGAAAATAGAATTGAAACTAAGATTCCTGAAGTGAAGTTCCACAAACGAAGACAAGTGAATAAGCTTAATCATGTTAGCATTCATCAACCAAGAGACGCTGGAATTACGATGGTAATGGATAACGAAAAAGACATTGACAGTGACATGAAGTTATTAAATGATGTTGTTAGGTAAGACACACATGCAACAGTTAGGTATCTTTATTTCGAAACGTTTCTCCTACACAGTAGGCTTCTTCAGTCGAGTACTGAAAAGTTGGTAGAAGCAGTAGAGATGAAGACGTAGTTTTAAGGTGGTCAGTCCCTCAGCCTGGAGAAGAGTATTGTTCCATTGTGTGAAACAATATGAAGTCGAAGTGACAGTAAGGAGCCTTAAATACTGTCAGGAGGATTAAGTAAGAAGTAGAAATAAAGGATTTAAATTAAATAAATTTAGATTTAGAAAGGACATAGGTAAGTATTGATTTTAAGAGTTGTCGATGCGTGGAACAATCTTCCTGGCAGGGCAGCAGATTCAAAAAGAGACTGGACAAATATATGAGTGGGAGGGACTGGGTTTGATTGGTGCCTGGGGTACGGAAGCAAATTCTTGTGTAGCTTTGGTCGAAGGTTGGAGAAATACATCAGTGGCTTTGATAAGAACCAGCCTTGTATGGATTAGAAGGATTGCTTCAGTCTTCCTCCATTCTTAGGTTCTTAAAGATATCTCCTCTCATTGGTATAGGGCTGTTTAAATAAAAAAAATGCAATTTTTTGTAAAATATTTGAAATTTCTAATTCATCTTTTCTGATATTACAGTACGTGGAGGAAAATTGACATAGAACTGCATCAATATTTTGTAAAAAAAAAATCACTTACTGGCAACAAATTGCTGTAATTGACTGGAGTCAATGGAGGCACCGGGTCTGAGTACCACGAAGGCTCTTGGTGCCTCTCCTAATCTGTCGTCTCTGACCCCCACTACCGCTGCTTCAGTCACATCAGTGTGAGTCATCAGTAACTTTTCCAGCTCAGAGGGCGACACCTGACAAAACACACGGTGTTAATGAAAAAAATCTGTTGTGGATACAATATATATATATATATATATATATATATATATATATATATATATATATATATATATATATATATATATATATATATATATATATATATATATACATTTAATTTATTTATGTTATGTAGAGATGATAATTATTTACAAGCAACAGCTGTTTTGCAAAGTTTAGAACAAATATGATCTGAGGTTAAGCTCTTTACCTGAAATCCTTTGACCTTAATTAGTTCTTTAATTCTGTCTGTGATGTAAACGAAGTCATCATGGTCGAAGTATCCGATATCGCCGGAGTGTAACCATCCTTCAGCATCAAGGGTCTCAGCAGTGGCGGCGGCGTTGTTGGCGTAGCCTAACATTATAGTGGGTCCATTGTAGCACACCTCTCCTTCCTGGCCTGGCCCCAACATCTCTCCATTCTCTACATTCACGACCTGAGTTACCATTCTACAATTATACCTTCTCTATTATCGTAACATGAGATAACACGTTGCTATTATGTACTCTCCAGAAATACCTCCTCTCTTTGCATCATTCCTTGATGTGCCCTTCAAACCCAGGACACTTGCCTCTTATTTCCGTTTTAACTAGACCTTTAAAAAGGTCCTTCCCGAGACTTAATATCATTCGCATATACTTTTCTTTACATACCAGACGGTAGCCGCTTTTACAGACAGGACATAACACAGCCATAGAGCCTACTGTGAGTTTTCTATTAGAAGCCCCGGGATTATGCATCAATCTTCCTTTCACCTTTCTTTTCATTCATATTCATCTCCGGCTTCTGAAAAAGCTGCAGATGGTGTCACCCAAGCTACCATATTCTGACAAAACTTCCCCTCATTTCTTCAGTTTCTACTCTTACAACATTGTATAGCTCTTGATGACACACTGAGAAGTGTGAAAATACTTGAACTAAAGATTTCCCTTACCCCCTCCGTGGCTTGTCATGCATTGTTAAGATCGTCTGTCTGCGAATAGGTAAAACTGGTCACTTGACAAGAACTCATTTAAAATTAAGTCATTTCTAAAATTTTCTCCTCTACGTTTAAAGATATGTTTTTTTCAATGATGTTAATGCATAAATTAATAATCTTGAAATAAAAGAACTTTAGAAAACTTACCTAACCTTATTATAACGAAAGCAATTTAATTGAGCCTAATCCAACTAAATATATTTTAGATAAGTTTACAGTAATTTAATAATAAACAAACACAATGAAATATATTTTTCTCGTTAAGTTCAGATGATTTTTCCAAAATTATTACATACACAAATTTTCGCTTGCCTTATTCGGTACGAAGACCATTGCTATTTAAGCAAAAATCGCAAGTTTTACCTATTCGACACTACATATATATGCAAAACAACCACAGGGGGAATTAAGTAGCATCTTAACATAACGAAAACATATATATCATAGATTTTAAGTAATATTAATTAAATTTAAACTGACCTGTGATATACAGCAGAATCCAGAAAAAATGCGTTAGTTTAACAGAGGTTAGGAAATGTTTCTATCTTAGGTTTTTGCCCCAAAATAAATTTGTTTACATCAGTGCAAATGAAAGAAATAAATCTTTCAATCTTTGATTTTTCGGATATGTCCAATTTTTATGGAAACTCGGCAAATTTTGTTGATACCGAAATCAATGTACAATTTTTAGCCAATACCTGAAGTGGTGTGTGTGTACTCACCTATTCGTACTCACCTATTTGTGGTAGCAGGGGTCGAGTCTTAGCTCCTGGGCCTCTCTCTCCTTGTTCCAGGAGCTTTATCAAACCTCGTCTTAAAACTATGTATGGTTCCTGCCTCCACTACTTCACTTTCTAGGCTATTCCACTGCCTGACAACTCTATGACTGAAGAAATACTTCCTCACGTCCCTGTGACTCGTCTGAGTCTTCAGCTTCCAATTGCGACCCCTTGTTTCTGTGTCCCTTCTCTGGAACATCCTATCTCTGTCCACCTTGTCTATTACACGCAGTATTTTGTATGTCGTTATCATGTCTCCTCTGACCCTCCTGTCCTCCAGTGTCGTCAGCCCGATTTCCCATAACCTTTCTTCATAGGACATTCCCCTTAGCTCTGGAATTAACTATCCCGCAAACCTTTGCACTTTCTCTAATTTCTTGACGTGCTTGATCAAGTGCGGGTTCCAAACAGGTGCTGCATACTCCAGTATGGGCCTGACGTACATGGTGTACAGTGTCTTGAACGATTCCTTACTAAGGTATCGGAACGCTGTTCTCAGGTTTTCCAGGCGCCCATAAGTTGCAGCAGTTATCTGGTTGACGTGTGCTTCTGGAGACATGCTCGGTGTTATATTTACCCTAAGATCTTTCTCCTTGAGCGAGGTTTGCAGTCTTTAGCCACCTACCTGGAGGAGGTTACCTGGAGGTTATTCCGGGGATCAACGCCCCCGCGGCCCGGTCCACGACCAGGCCTCCCGATGGATCAGGGCCTGATCAACTAGGCTGTTACTGCTGGCCGCACGCAGTCCAACGTACGAGCCACAGCCCGGCTGATCCGGCACTGACTTTAGGTATCTGTCCAGCTCTCTCTTGAAGGCAGCCAGGGGTTTATTGGCAATTTCCCTAATGCTTGATGGGAGGCTGTTGAACAGTCTTGGGCCCCGGACACTTATGGTGTTTTCCCTTAGTGTACCAATGGCGCCCCTACTTTTTATTGGGGGCATTTTGCATCGCCTGCCCAGTCTTTTACTTTCATAGGGAGTGATTTCTGTGTGCAGATTTGGGACCATTCCTTCCAAGATTTTCCAAGTGTAGATTATGATATATCTCTCCCTCCTGCGTTCCAACGAGTACAAGTCAAGTGCTTCCAAGCGTTCCCAGTAGTTAAGATGCTTGACAGAACTTATACGTGCAGTAAAGGATCTCTGTACACTCTCTAGATCTGCGATTTCACCTGCTTTGAATGGAGATGTTAATGTACAGCAGTATTCCAGCCTAGAGAAAACAAGTGATTTGAAAAGGATCATCATTGGCTTGGCATCTCTCGTTTTGAACGTTCTCATTATCCATCCTATCATTTTCTTTGCACGTGTGATCGTAGCACTGTTGTGATCCTTGAAAGTGAGATCCTCAGACATTACTACTCCGTCTGCGGTCTTCTGTGTCCTTCCCCTATCTTCATGACTTTGCATTTGGCAGGATTAAATTCGAGAAGTCAATTGCTGGACCAGGTGTCCAGTCTGTCCAGGTCTCTTTAAAGTCCTGCCTGGTCCTCATCTGATATAATTCTCCTCATTAACTTCACATCGTCTGCGAACAGTGACACTTCTGAGTCTAACCCTTCCATCATGTCGTTCACATATACCAAAAATAGCACTGGTCCGTTGACCAACCCATGTGGGACCCCGCTCGTCACAGGTGCCCACTGTGATACCTCATTACGTACCATGACTCGTTGTTGCCTCTCTGTCAGGTATTCTCTGATCCATTGCAGTGCCCTTCCTGTTATATACGCCTGATCCTCTAGCTTCTGCACTAATTTCTTGTGAGGAACTGTGCCAAAGGCCTTCTTGCAGTCCAAGAAGATGCAATCAACCCACCCCTCTCTCTAGTGTCTTACTTCTGTTACTTTATCTAAAACTCCAGAAGGTTTGTGACACGGGATTTGCCTTCTATGAATCTGTGCTGGTTGGCGTTTATACTCTTGTTCCGTTCCAGGTGCACCACCACTCTCCTCCTGATAATCTTCTCCATAACTTTGCATACTATACACGCCAGTGACACAGGTCTATAGTTTAGTGCCTCTTTTCTGTCTCCTTTTTTGAAAATGGGAACTACATTTGCCGTCTTCCGTACCACAGGTAGTTGCCCAGTTTCCAGGGACGTGTTGAAGATTGTGGTAAGTGGCACACACGGCATATCCACTCCCTCTCTAAGGACCCACGGGGATATGTTGTCCGGTCCCATTGCCTTCGAGGTATCGATGTCCCTTAGCAGCTTCTTCACCTCCTCCTCATTTGTATTTGTCATCCAACACTTGTTGGTATATTCCTTGCTGGTGTCCTCATCTGGTCTGTCCTCCCCAGAGGCCTTCCTGTCTCCACTGTAAATACTTCCTTAAATCTCGTGTTGAGCTCCTCACATACCTCTTGATCGTTTCTTGTGAGTTCTCCACCTTCTTCCCTCAGTCTTATCACCTGGTCTTTGACTTTTTCTACCTCCTAATGTGGTTATACAGCAGTTTCGGGTCAGACTTGATTTTCGATGCTATGTCGTTTTCGTACTGTCGCTGGGCCTCCCTCCTTATCTGTGCATACTCGTTTCTGGCTCTTCTACTAATCTTCTTTTTTTTCTTGGGTCCTTTGCCTCCTATACCTTTTCCATTCTCTGGTGCACTTAGTTTTTGCCTCCCTACACCTTCGGGTAAACCAAGGACTCGTTTTGGTCTTCCTATTATTTATATTTCCCTTGGGAACAAACCTTTCCTCTGCCTCCTTGCACTTTGTTGCTACTTATTCCATCATCTCGTTTACTGATTTTCCTACCAGTTCTCTGTCCCACTGAACCTCCTGCAGGAAGTTCCTCATACCTGTGTAGTTCCCCCTTTTAAAGTTTGGTTTTTCCCATTCAATTCCAGTTACCTTCTCCACTTGTAACTCTACTATATAATCAAAACTCAGAACCACGTGATCGCTAGCTCCAAGGGGCCTCTCGTAAGCGATGTCCTCAATGTCTGAACTGTTTAGGGTAAACACAAGATCCTGTCTTGCTGGCTCAACCTCCCCTCTCTCTCTGGTAGTGTCCCTGACATGTTAATGCATGAGGTTTTGAAGTACCACATCCATCATCTTGGCTCTCCATGTTTCGGGACCCCCATGCGGCTCAAGGTTTTCCCAGTCGATCTCCCTGTGGTTGAAATCGCCCATTACCAGTAGCTTTGCTCTGCTCGAGTGAGCTCTTCTTGTCACCTCAGCCAGTGTGTCCACCATCGCTCTGTTGTTTTCTTCGTGTGTGTGTGTGTGTGTGTGTGTGTGTGTGTGTGTGTGTGTGTGTGTGTGTGTGTGTGTCTGCATGTGTGTGGTGTGTATGTGTGTATGTATTTGTGCGTGTGTGATGTGTGTGTTGTGCTTGTGCGCGCGGTGTGTGTATCTTGTGTGTGAGTGTGTGATGTGTGTGGTGTGTGTGCGTGTGGTGTGTGTGTCGTGTGTGCCTCGTGTGTGTATGTGTGTGTGTGTGTATGTGTGCATGTGTGTGGTGTGTGTGTGTGTGTATGTGTGTGTGTGTGTGTGTGTGTGTGTGTGTATGTGTGTACTCACTGAGTTGTGTTGGTTGCTTCTGTGTATATGGATGTGTCTGAAAAAATAATTATACAATCCGTTTGGTTTATCTACGTCCCAAGCTGCCGTCTCTGTCTCAAGCTGAAAACTACGTCTCAAGCTACCATCTATGTCTCAAGGTG